GTGGCCGTGGAGCTGGGCAGCATCTCGCAGCCATCTGGCAGGGGCAACGCCGCAAGGCAGATCCAAACCAGACACCCTTTTCGGAGGGTACTGACAATGATGTCTTCATTCCCTACCGCGAGCGGTGCAGGAGCTCTAGCCGCCTGTTTGCTCACGTAGCACCGTGCCAAGCTCCTGGTCCTGGAAGTCTCTGGAAAGATGATGAGGGCTCCGGCATGGGTGGGCTTTGCCGGGGTACACGCATTGGCATCCCAGTGGGAGATGCCATCCTTAACGTGGGCACCTCATTTCTTGAGTCCTCCAAATGCAGAGGCTGGGGAATATGTCAACAGGATTTTGTGCTCTAAAATCCCCAGCTCGATGTCTTCCAGGCTTAGGTGGCCCATGATGTTGTCACTTACCACGTATAAGATGCTTTCACGACCTGGCAAAAGTTTGATTCTTTATTTAAAATACGCAATGGGGGACGTGGGGAGAGAAGGCAATAAGTACGTTCAAATTAATGCAGCATTTACCAAAATCAACATTAAAAACAATTCACATGAGAACATCCAAGTGCCTCCATGCTGAAATATTTCCCGTTTATAGATCCCATCACCAAACCTAGGGATGACTTGAGGACAGCCAGGATTGTCCCTTGGCATACAGAAACGTCAGCACCGCTCTGCTCAACCCTTGAGTGTTTGCAAACTGTCAAGTATGATGGTGCCACCTTACAGATCTTCTACCAGGTTGCTTTTGGGAATCCTGGCCCGCAAGCAGGTTTTGGTAATGCACACGTACACATCTAAGACACGTGTATTTCAACTGCAGTTTGGGATGGATCGCCCTCTGCCGCGTCTGGCTCCGTGGCAAATATAAATTGCCAACATCCTCATGATGGACAAGACCAACAATTTAGCAGTTGCCTCTTTTTTTTTTCCCCCCCTATTTTTTTTAAAACACCGCATTGAATCCCAACGGGATTTTGGGGTTTTGTTTTAATGGCGAGGCAAGAATTTGCTGATCCTCCCCGTGGCGAAGTTACTTTCAAGTCAGTGAAAGTTCTTGGCCCGTGATGAAAAGTCTTTGCCAATTAGCGCTCGACAACTTCAATTCATCCCTCCTGGTTCAAGATGAGTAGGAACCTAATAAGGCTGCGATAAAAGGGCAAAAGGCACCGAGTACCCAAAGGGGATTAATGGGCTCTTCCATTTATTTGTCTTCCTAACAGCTGAACTGTTACAAGTATTGACGGTCTTCAAACGGCCCGGGCGCGGGGTCTCCAATGGCCATCTCCAGCTCCCCGGCCCCCGAGGGGCGAGGGCTTCCCCCTGGGCGATGCCAAAACCAACAAAGCCCCGGGGATCAGGTAATGAAACTTCAG